TTTTTATGTTAATGAAAAATCATGCCCATGAGGCTGGACTGCTGGAGAGAGACCCCTCATTGTTCTTTCTGCTATGGGGAAAACAACCAACAAGCTCCTATTGGTATTGTTCCTTGGTTCACCATGATGGCCCTCTGACAGGAGATGGTGAGTGAAGTTGCAGAGATATTGAAGATATTTCATTGCTACCCAACTTTTGTACGACATGAAGGAACAAATAATATATTTTAGCATTGGGGGTAAAATTGTAAATGTTCATTTAATCCTAATTTTTGTCCATGTAAACAAACACATAAAACATATTATGAAATAATCTTATCTTGAGTAAATCAAACATAACAAACATAAGTATAAAAATATCTCTACACCCCAATCTTGAATACCTAGATAAAATTTATCTAATCCGATCTCTCTAAACAAACGTGCTCTAAGGCTTTCCTTTTATCGGGGGATATTCTTGCAAATGAAGCCCTACCAAACTGAACATGGACCAAGGAGCTGAATCGGTACTCTCGTCAATTCAATTACATCTATCTATCTTTAACCAAAAAAATAAAATAAAACTATATAAAATATTAAATATACTTTTATAATAATAAATAGTAAAATAATTTAATTATTTAAGATAATTCGATTAACAAACCGAATAATCCTAGTATTTCAGTTTGGATTTAAACTTCGGTTGATTGATCGAATGACTACGAGTGCACATTATTATTTTTCAACGAACAATAATATAAAATATAAAATAAATGTAATACTAAATATACTTTATAATAATAAATAATAAAATATTTTAAGAACTTAGATTAATTCGATGTACAATTATATCTATTAAAACTAATTTTTGAATACACATAATTTATCCGGTATCGTATAAACTAGTACACTTTATAGAATAACACGTTGCACTTTATAAAACGAGAGGTTGCACTTTTTAAAACAATTCGTTACACTTTATGAAACAACAAGGTCCATTTTATCATCACACTCCACAGTTAACGTTAATAGTTCCCGTCAAAATACCACACAAAGTAAATTTAAAAAAATGAAACTATATAATATTTTAACATGCATCACATCACTTGTCCATATAAAACCCAAGCATCATGGTAACGTATCAAAATTACAGTAGTGCACTTTATACATAAGCACGTTGCACTTTATAAAACAATACATTGCACTTTATAAATAACACACTGCACTTTATCACAACTATAATATCGCATGAATAGAGAATGAAACCAACGGAACTCAATTTTTTTATTTCAACAAAAAATATTATAAAATAATAAGTAAAATTATTAATAACACACACAACACACACACACACACACACACACACATGGTGGGTCTCAACCGCACTGGCCGGCCTCCACTGCTGCAACTGGCCAACATCCACGCCGTAAAGCATCATCGTCTTCGTCGACCAGCACCGCCGGCGGCTCGCTATGCGCCGCTGCTACACCATCGCCGCCGGAGCATCTCAACACCGCCGCCCGTTATCAACGTCGTCAGTTCT